TCAAACTGTCAAACTAGTCAGTGCTGATCAAATACGAATCCAACTTATTTTACTGTGTTGACTATTTCTCACCAAAAATCGTTTCAGAAACATATTTTAGTGAACTGTTTAGCCGTCATGGTGACGACCATAATGCCAAACTCGAGGCTTCAGAACTGTTCTCCACAAACTAATAGGTGACGTCATGATAGGTTCACACTTGGTTTCAATGTAGCTGAGGTTAGCATGTAGCATATCTAGTACAGGAAAGGAGGAAGTTGGCCGACGCTTGCTCAACTGTTATTGGAGCACAGAGCAAAACGGGGCGGGACAGGAAGGATCAGTTGTTACCTGTCTACCTTACTGTGTTATCAAAACAAGTACACCTTTGTGCTGATAAAAAATCTAAAATGTTGGTCCATCACAAGGTTTACACAGTGAAAGACACATTTTACTACACACGAACTGGTGTTAAACACAAGAATATCTTCTTGTTATAATGAGAAACTGTTCTTTTTGTCTGACATTCACCCTTTGCTTGCATTTAGAGAGATTATCAGCAGCTGATGGTTGTGTGAGCATTTGTAAAACTAAGAGAAAATGTCACAGGGATAATTAAAAGTTCACATCCAGAATTGGCCTCTTACTGCTGGCAAAAATATTAGTAATATTTATTCCAAAATCTCCTCTCATTAGTATTTGTTACACTCCCAAAGATCTGAAGTCACATTCTGACTCCAGACTCCGAAGCCTGCATTTGATTTAAATACATATCTATCTAAAATCAACTCCCTGCATCTCAATCAGATGCTTTTATTTAAAGGCCCAAAGCAGAGTTTATTTTTATTCAGATCGTCTGTAAGAATATACCATGGGAATGGATAATGAGCTTCTTACAACTTTTAAAACTCTGTCAACGTGTTGGGACTGCTCAACCAGGCTGCTCACACAGGGGGGAAACTTGTGCTTCGGCCGCCTTGATCGCAGCGCCAGTCCACATGTTAGAGTCAATAAATGGCAGTGTGCATGAAGTTCTAGTGCTCATGCTACATTAGCTGTGTTTCTCTCCAGCTGTCTAAACACACTTTTGAAGTGTCACAAAGAATAAATCCAGTGTGTTTTGGCTCAGCTGTTGAGTGGATGTGGAGATGTAGATATTAAATGATTTTAATAGAGAACAACAGTGATACGTTAAAGTCAGTGTATTGTATAAGGGACCCTTTTTTATCATTGAGTAAACTGACATTAAAATATTAAATGCATAATAATAACACTACAGAACAACTGATCAACTGTACAATTAATTGCAGTAGGTTTGTCTGTTTATCAGATGGTGAAGGCTCTGTGAATATAGCACATGTTGTGTATATGTTATATAATAATATAAAGTTTGAAAATAACAATTTCATGTAGTTTTTCTTCACAGAAATGAACCCAAAGTCTGAGATTTAGTCAACAACTTGAGTGCGGTGTTTCGGACAGTGCGGTGTACATTAGGAGGTTGTATTATAATTATTATATTTTATTATTAATTATTATATTTTATTATTATAATGATAATAATAATAATAATAATAATAATAATAATCATATGTATGTTTTAATTGGTGTATAATCATCTGAAAATAAGAATTCTTGTTTCTTTTGTTTCCTTATGAGCCTTTTATATCTACAGACATCACGGGTTGCCTTTCATGGAGGCCGCCATGTTGAGCCAACATGTTTCTACAAGAACAAACCAAACACTGGCTCTGTGTGTTTTGCGGCCATTGTAGTTCCTTCTTCTTTGAAAGGGAAGGTGAAGCGAGGGAAATGCAATCTGCAACTACACTGCTAGATGCCACTAAATTCTACACACTGGAACTTTAAAATTAAGAAGGCCTCGCAACCTCCCTGTATAACTTTGGCGAGCCCTGCTGGAGTCCCCGGCCCCCCAGATTGGGAACCACTGCATTAAAGTCATCAGGATCTACTCGGGTCAGATTTCCCTTTGGGGTTAATTGATGCTTATTGCAGCAATATGTGTGTGTCCATACATTTTGGTCTCTCTGTGGATGTGGGCACGTGTGTTGTGTTATGTGTGTGTGTGATGCTTAACCATATCTCTGAGAGCTTATTTGACTGCATGATTACCTATGGCAATTAAACCTATAAATCTAAGCTGTCGGTGTGTTGGCTCTACACCAAGGACACACACACTCACCTAATATGTCTTAGGGCCTGAAAAAAGGCTTTCCACCTCCCTACTCATTTAGGGAAATACTTCATTAGATGGGATTTGTGTCTCCCAGAAAATTTAAATTGGACTTTAACGTGAGACTCCTTGTCTTTACGCCGTTGTTATTCTTCTCATTTCACTCTGAAGTCCATCGAGCTCTTTTTCACCGTCTCTTACTTTCTAAAGACACACAGCCTTCTCCTTCCCTCTTGAATTCTAATGTGTGGCTATTTTCAATGAATTAATCATGCATGGTGAAGTAGGCTAATAGTTGTTATGATGTAGAAATAAGAGTCCATTAGTGCTAAGAAGACTAGCTTGGCTCTTATAATGTATTACATCAAGGCCACTCAAAGACTCAGGTCTTTCTTATAAAATAATCTCGTTGAGTGTAAAACTGGAGAGATTTTACTCATTAAGTAGTCTCAGTCTTATTGTAAGAATGAATATTTAAGGTGTTAATATTATGGTTTTATTACAGTCAATGTCTGTTTGCTATCTCTTGTTGATAATTCAATATAACAACAAGATTTTATGTTTTCTTGTAGTGAATTTGAAATCGTTATGAGTGCAAATGTTTATAAAAGCCAATTATAACATTTTAAAAAGACACATAAGACCATGAGAGCAGCCGGACCACTGGTTTAAACAGATTTTAATCCATATTTTAGAGACATTAAATATTTAAAAACAATGGAACTGCATCACAACTTCTGATCATCACATAGAACAACTTCATTATAAAAAGAACCATATAAAAGGCCAAAAGATAGCACTGATAGAAACAGAAAAACAGCTGAAGTTGTGCAACACATTTAAAAATACAATGCAATCCATGTTGGACGGATGTGTTTCCGAATGTTATTTTGTAGAAATCTTTACAATGTTGCAAGTGATGTACATCAGAACCACAGACAGAGATTTGTCAGGTTGAATCAGAGGCACCGTGTTGCTGCCCGTCCACCAATGACTGGGCTGTAAATATGCTAATTTAATCATATAATCATAACACTTTAAAGGTGCCTTGTAGCATTTTTAACATCAATAAATGCCACATGAATTTGGATCCTGCTGCAATAACCAAAGTAGATCATCACCAAGAATACAGTCCACAAAGCTAAAGAAAGGTTAGTCGTACTGTAAAAACTTGACAAGAATCTACGAGGTTTATGATTAAAAGTGTCTCAGTTTTTAGAAAAATTCGGCCCGAACAACCACTGGCGGTCGGGAAGTGCCTAGTTTAAGAAACCGCTACATTTCGCACCTTTAAAGATTTTGCACTGAATCCAAGTTAACTGACCTGGATCTATTCTGCATTACAGCTGAGACCAGCTGATGGTTTTTCCACTGGAGGGAACAGAATGACCAATGTCCACACAGTTTTTTTACTTCCTGTTTTATGGGTTGTTCTCATCGTGGGGCCGTTTTAAACCACTGCCATATGTAACACCATTTGTCCCAGCAGGGATGCAATATTACAAAATAACTGCACATGAGACACTGAAACCATCAAAGCAACCTTGGCAGAGGTTAACATAGTTTCAGAGGGAATATTACTGATTAAAATGATACTGCTGCTTTTTTTTTAAATGTTCCTGTTTAGTGTCAGACTGATTGGGAACCGGCTGTCCTATTGTTAGTGGATAAAAAGCTCTTTGATTAACTTAATGATATGTTTTTAATTATATAATCCAAAGTTTGACTTCTGCATGGACAGTATTTTATATTTACTGCTACATTACCCTAATACAGGAGCTTTATATCAACTACAAAGCCTATTAAAGAAATTGTGCAACACTAAATACGCTTATTTGCTTTCTTTCTAAGAGTTAGATGTGAAGTTTGGTACCACTTTCATGTCAAAGATAGAGCTAGATAGATAGAAAATAAAGCAATAAACCTAGCTTAGCATAAAGACTGGAAACAGGGGGAAACGGCTAACCAGCAGCACCTCTAAACTCACTAATTAACACGTTGCATGTCGTTAGTTTAATCTGTACATAAACAGAAATGTAAAAGCAACAATTTGTGGTTTTAGGGAGAGTTGGCTGCTGGAACTATTTCTTTGTAGTTTTGTTAAGTGTGTGGATAACACAAACAAGATACAAAGTGTTAATTAGTGAGCTTTAAAGAGGCGGGTAATAGCTCTTTCTCCCTGCTCCTAATCTTTATGCTAAGCTAGGATAATTATCTCCTGGTTCCAGGTCCGTACTCGATACGCACAAAGAGTGAATCGATTTTCTTGTTTTACTCTAGAAAAGAAAGTGCAACTATTCCTGTCAGTGTGTTCAGGGGTGGATCTAGAGGGGTGGCATGCCTTGGCACTAGAGGTGTAAGAAAATATTGCATCGATTCTCAGAAATACTGTATCCATATTTAGATTTAAACTTCCAACTGCTAGATAGCAGAGTTGTAAACTGAGGATGTTACAGGGACAAATGCAGATCCCACTGCACAATATATTGCCTTGCCAACAGAATCACAATATATTGCAATATGAAATGATTTCTAATGCCAGCTACAGATATTTGTATTCAATGTGCCACAGTAATATAATGTTTTTAAGTTCAAATAAATGTTCTTTTATAATTTTTTTCAAGCGAATAGTAATCCATCCATGCCCTGCGTGTATTCCACCGCACCATAAATAAACACAGTATATTGGTTGCAGAACTTATTTGGCAAAGTGTGGTATTCTGGTACAACTGAAGATAAGAATTTCCCCATACTAATAGTAGCTTTCTCTAAGGAATAACTTGAAAGGGACTTATGATGATTACTACTTAGTAATTAAGCATAAAAGAGAAAACATGATGCAACATGTTAGCAGTTATTAGCAGTAGTGATAGCGTATTAATTTCCCTCCAGTGACCTCAACAAATGATTATTTATCAGATAAATAGAGACTAATCTCTTTCAAATATTTGTTTCTACACTGTTGCATGACTCCAACAGTACAACTGAGGACAATCAAATGGAAAAAAAACAAGAGAGAAAAAGCAGCTTTCTGGTAGATTACAAGGAATTTGAGAAGAAAAAACCCTTTATTGTCTTTATAAATACTGCTAGTTCATTTACTGTATGAGGCAGTTTTGGCAATTTCATAAGCAATCAAAGTGTATCTGTGATTTTCTGAAATGCAAACAAATATTAGAGACACTCATCACTACTGGAGAGATTATCAATGTATTATCAGCTTGTAGCCATCTGTTGTCAAAAAATAAATCAGTCTGTTTAAGCTCTCTATTGTAATCACCACAGCAGCGACGCTGTTTCTGTCACTGCTGCTTTTGATAAACAGGTTGACAACTGTGATAATGTAACAGGAGCTAATGAGATATTTAGTAAGATGTCAGCAGAATAAAAGGCCATGCTGAGGCAGTCTGTCTCCAAAACGTTTCAGAATATACGGACATTGTTTGACATTGCATATAGTCAAATGAACTGTTGCGTGAATTCAACATTTACCATAACCACCATGTGACATGTAGCATGGCGGGATGAAACCGATGCTTCCTATGATGTCACCAATGCAAAGTTTTTTGACATTTTACAGCATATTATTGTATAAATATATTGTACCGCTGCATATAATCAAAATAAGGACCATTGTGTGAAAGTAACAATAACCATATAGTAACATCACTGTTTCACCATAAAACAAAACAACATCGAACATCATTGAATTGGACTGAGCAACACTGTGGATCAACTATTGACTTGTAATGGCTGAGGTCTGACTGAAACAGTTTGTGGGTTTTGTTTGTTGGCTGTTGTAGACGTTCATTGGCTCATTGGGACATTTTGGCTTCATGACCTCAAATAATTAAAATTTAAAAAAAAAGAAAAGAAACAACAACTTTAAAAAAGGCATTTTTGTTGAACCACAGGGAGTGGAGTTTGGGACGGTTATCCAAAATGTTCACTGTTAAACATTTTCAGGCTTTCAGATGAAGAACCATGAGTCCATTTTAAAGGAATAGTTTTGACATTTTTTGGAAATATGCTTATTCACATTCTAGCTGGTAGTTACCACTCTCATGTCCACTCTAAATCACCCAGTTAGCTTAGCTTAGCACAAAGAATGGAAACAGGGCTAACTTGGCTTTATTCAAAAAATAACAAAATCTGCTTACAATCAATTCAAATGCGCACTAATTAACACGTTATACCTCGTTATTTTAATCTGTACACCCGACCAAGAAACAAACGAAGGTTGGTTGGGCGATGAGATAAATATTAAAATCAATCAATAAATAAATCGGGATTTACAGACTTGATGCTTCAGCTAGCGTTAGGTACCCAGCAGGTAGTGAACCTCTCCTAACAAGAGATGTCCATTTGCTGTTAAAACATTCTTCTAAACTGTGTCAGGTGAAGATGTGACTCGCCCTACTCTGCCTCTGATTGGCTTACCCTGACAACCCTAACCAACCTCACTCCTCATGCCTAAAAATCTAACTAACCAAACCAATGAAGGCAATGAGTGCCAGTCAGTCAGAGGTAGAGAAGAGCGGTTCATGACTTCACCACCCTGGGAAAAGAAATTGGTGTATGGGACTGTCATGATTCACAACAGCTAATATAGCAGCTTACACCTAACTAACCTTTTAGAGCACGTTGTAATAACTGGATTGTCACAGTCAAACTTTTTACACATTGTATGAAAACAAATCGGATTAACCAGCCCTAAAACAAACCGGTAGGTGGATTTTGTTACCTTTGGACGAAACCAAGCTGTAGCTGTTTCCCGTTTTCCAATCTTAATGCTAACCTAAGCTAACTGACTGCTGGCTCTAGTTTCAAATTTATCATACAAACATGAGATCAATCTTCTCATCTTATGAAGGCAAATTAAGCGCATTTCCTATAAAAAGTTGAACTCTTCCTGTTCATTGACTTGATGTTCTTGAACCTCCATCGGACTGTTAGCGTTGTGCATTTGAAGCAGCTCTGTTTTTTCTCACTGTAAATGATTATGTGACAAGAAATACATTTGACTGTTTTTTTTGTTTTTGTTTTTTTCTTTTTCAAAATGGACACAAGTAGTTCTTGGTCTGAAGCTATCATTTATTGCATGCGATGGTTTTAATTTTTCAGGCATTTCAGACAAACCCATACTTGCTCAAATCATTAAGATAAAAAAAACAAAACAGCAACTGATGCAAATTTGACACGTTAAATCACACATTTTTTCTTAAAGCCAAACCCTGGTGTCGTCATAAACGCCAGTAAAAAGCTTGTGGAAACATTTGATTTTACGAAAAACAATCTCATATTTATACCAATATGGTATGGAAAATTATTTAGATTAATTCTTTGTTCTTAAATAAATAGAGCAATTCCCACTGGACACAAATAGAGGCACTTGAGTTTCTTTTTTTTTTGTCAAAGTGAAAATTACTTTCCACATCCGCATTGTCTTCCATACACATTCAGCGATGGTCAAATGATCCAAAACATAAAAACTCATGCTTGATGTGCTGGATTTACAGGGACCATGAAAAAAAAATCTAGATTTTAAGTCTTTATAGCACAAGTGAAAAAGAGAGGCGGACGCTGCACGGAAACAAAACGCTCTTCTTTTGTTTTTATGTGCCACAAAGGGTTAAAAATCAGATTATGTTTGGTGCTGTGTAAATGCAGCCATACCCTGTGCATGGACATACACACTCACACATATATATAGATACCCTATTTTTGTTGTTCCACCTCCTCATTCATTCACATTGAATCATTCACAAGACACTAAAAAAACAAAAACACTGTTTTCAGGAGTCACAGTCTGTACATTATGGTACACAAACATCATCATTGTCCAGTCAGGTAATGATTTAAATAGACTTGACAATCAGCTGTACACTTATACACACCAACAACACAACACAACAAATGCGGGGAAATGACTACAAGACATCCAGCAGATGATTTGATCTCATTAAGCGCTGTACAAAGTCGCTGCTGATGCAAGGATTTTCTTTGACATCAGGGCAGAAAAGCCGACATGAGAGTTGTTTACTTGATCTGCTCGTGGGTGGGGTGCTTAATTAGAGCCAAATCATACTGAATCCTGTAGTTTTTTCCCCCTTAAGTGTTTGACACCTTAGTGGGTGGGTTACTATGGGAAATAGAACTGAGTGGAATTTCACCAAAGCTCATAACCAGTGAGAGAAGAACCAGACAAATGCTTTTTTTTTTTGTTTTTCATTTGTAGGACCAGTGAATTGAGCGCTTGTTTTGCTAAGCTGTTAACTCCCCAGACTGCCACTTGACCAGGTCTTGTAGCTAGAAACATCTCAATGTTCAAGTTGTCTTGATTGGATTGTACTGGGAGGCTCCACATCTGAGATCTCACAGCTTCTATTTAAACAAACCATTGATGTACTCAACTATCCTGATGCTCATATTGATACTTAAAAATGCAATAAGAGGTAGGGCTGGGTATCAAACCTCAATACTAAAATCAGTCCATTGCAGCAAGTATCAAAAACTGTCAAGTATGAAACGCTGGTATCATGTCTGGTCAAATTCATTATCCTGTTTATTCTTTGTTTAGATAATTCCCAATTTAACTACAAATTTAGCCATTTAATTAAGGCAAAATCTTTGTATGACTGCTTGTGTTTAGACATTTAACTTCGAAATGAAAAATTAAAAGGGATTAGTAGAAAAACATTCTTCATCTTCATCTTTATATATTGTTTTGGTATTCAGCACCAAAGCTCAGGAATCGTATCGGCACAGTATAAAAAGCTTTTAAACAGTAACTGACCCTATGTAGAGGTAGGCGAGGGCGTTCGAAAAAACTTTAATTATGTGAGATATAAATCCAGAATTAAGAAGCAAATTCAGATTTCCCTTCTGATTGATTTAGCGTCACCGGCTGGTGGTGAACAAATAAATAATAATAATAAAGTCCTAGAGAAACTTTTTTCTGTGCATTGTTTCCTGGGAGTTTTTACGCCATTTTAATCCAGCACAAGAATGGTGGAGTCTGACACTGATGTCGCAAACTATTATATGAAAGGCAGCTAACAAGAGTACCTACATTTAATGGCTACAACAGAATTGATGCCAGTCATAAATACTATGAAAAATTGAGTTTGATGTTGGATGAAATTCTTCAGGAGTACAACTTTAAATGAAATGAAAAACCACAAAGACTTTTAAGCAGTCATTCTCAAGAAGCCTTTTTGTGACTAATTACTGTATGTTGTTAAATTACTTAAAGAATACACAACACAGCCAGCAGCTCCCGACTGAAATAGAAGATAACTTCAGCCAAAGCTCTAGTGCTTTTAGCTGAGCCTCTTTCCTTTACCAGCGTGGTCCTTATCTAATGGATTGGACCGGTACTCCACTTTGGATCAATATCAGCCCGAGGCTTTAATTCTAGTCCCAATCACAGACACATTTCCCGGCCACTGCTGGAGCAGATGAGCCTGTGTTGAGCTCCTTTCCTACCTTCAGCCTCCTTAATCACATCAGCCTCTCACATATCTTTTTGAAAATGATCCTGTCTTAGTAAAAATACCTTTCCTCTGCAGTTCTTATTTCTATTCAGGGACACAGGGAGGTTTGTAACATATATTGTCCCTTCAGGAATTAAGGCTACCTTCACTGATGTACAGTTGCTCTAAAAAGCAGCATCAGCCAAATTCTAATATGCTAATTTGTATTGTGTGGTTCACAGTTAGAAATCCCCCAAACTTAGTTACTGTTCAGGCCTAATTGTGAATGATTTTTTTAGCCCAATTAATCCGCCCAGTGTATGCTGATACATTACTGTGAGTGGTGTCAGGTCATTTGAAGGATCCCAGTGGGAACTGAAGCATCGTCCTGAGTCTCATCTCACTTGTTATCCCAGTTCTAGCTCCCAGGCCCATTTCTTTTTTCTTTTTTTTTTTGTTGTAAAGTTTGGCTCTGGTCCAGTCCTTACAGCAGGTGAGCCTCTATGCGGAGCCAGTGCAGTCCCTGTCTGATGTATCGGACCAGCTCAGTCATGCTGCTCTGCTGACTCAACGGCTCCATCACTGAGTCCAGCTCCTGGAAGAATTCTACAGCAGGACGAGGGAGAAACACAGTTACTGACGGTTACTTTTGTGCTGAAATTAAACACATTATTACAGGCTGAGTGCTTTTACTGACGGTGCTCTGGGTATCAAATAGGCAAAGTCAAGTAAGTGATTCATCCATAAAACACAAAACTTGGTCTACAACAGTTTATTATTGTATATCTATTTTTGTTGAGCAGCAATCTAATTTATAAAATAAAGTAAATGTACTTTTATTGTAAAAATTCATCCATAACAAATTTGAGTTTCATTTGGTGGCTCTGGCAGCACGATAATTGGCTTGACATGTTGTCAGCATGCTTGTTAGGTTTACTAGCTGAGGAGGGTGGTTGTTTTGCCGGTTGCCTGGTGGGTAAGGCAGCATGTTGCCGGTGATAGCAGCAATATACTAGTTAGCTTGACATGTTGTCAGCTGGTTGTTGGCTAGCATGCTGTTAGCTCATGAGGTTGTAGACAAAGGTGAATATAATATTAATGAACTGATCCAACTTCTCACATGATTTTTTAGCTCAGTAAACGGTTTCCTAATTAGTTTATGGTCTCAATGTCTAGTTTCAAGTCTTCTCCACAGCATGAGGTTCATTTCTTAAATTATGGTCCCATTTAGAGTAAAATAGACGATGAAGCAGCGTATTTTTGGGGGCGTGGCTACCTTGTGATTAACAAGTCAGCCACTGTAGTTAAGCCTGAGCAGATACAATGTAGATAGGCGAGTATCTGCTCCTTTAATAGGTGACAATAACAATCAAGGACACTTTAAAAGCTAATGCACCTGTGTAAGTGTCCTTGATTTCTATTGTCAGAGAATAGTGTGGAAAAAGTTTCTGATATACTATTTCTAACTATTTCTAACTCTACTACTTATAAACATTAGTTATAAAACATAATTCCTCTCTTCGCCATAAAAATGACATATTTAATGTGTTTATCAGTATCCTTTCTGTCCATTATGATTGCTTATACACACTTTTGAAACTGGTTTTAGCTGTCATTTGTTCTTTTTCATACTTGGTGGAACAAATCAACAGCATTTCTATTGATTTATATTCATCTGGCTACTCAGTGTGCCTGGGCAGACAGCCTGTTTATAAAAGCCTTCACATTTTCTTTCCTAAACACAGAGAATGCAAGAAACAGATGTTTACTACAGTATAAGCATGCACTAAACCTCCTCCAACATTTTTATTTGGTGAGTGTGGTGCAAAAACAAAGCAAAGATGTACATACATTATATACAGTCATGCAAAGTCACTGTGGTCCTACTGTACCTTGGCTATCAGTGGCCAGTCTGTCAGCCGTCTCCCAGTGTTCATAGCTCCGCAGGATGTTGTTAGTGATGTTAACGTGACTGGCAGCCATGTGGTGAATCCGTTGGGGAATAGCCACACTTCCCGACGAGCCGGGGGCACCTCCAGATCCTCCTCCTGCTCCTCCTCCGTTGCTGGCTGGGGAGGGGCTGAGTGAGAGGGGAGATGGAGTCCCATTGACCCTGGAGAATACATGGAGGGCTTTTTATGAGTTATTGATAACATATGAAGAGGAAAGTGTGAACAAAGAGTTATGTATTCCATTTGAATGTAATTACTTACATTACTATTTATCCTAACCAATCATAACTAAATGATCAATAACACAGTATGCTTATGTTTATATTTTGCTGCACAATAATTACGGTGAACATTTGTCAGACATAATAGCAGTCTTTGACTGTCTAGTCTGTTTTGGCTTTGACTTTGCAGCGAGCTATATCAAATACAATAAAGGAGTAATCACTCCAGACCTGAGGCTATAAAAAGTGAGGGGGTGTGTGGCATTCACTGTATAATAACATCAGTCATGCTAGTACAAACTGCTCCCCCTGCCTTGCACAGCTGGGTGTGTGGCTCTGGCAGTGATGTAATGTCTGTGATGTGGCCTTGACCCTCGCTGACCCAACGACTTGTGCCTGATTCAGTGCTGCACACACACACACACACAACTCCAGTCCTGCTGTTGTGCAGCGTCAGAGCTGTCTGAACTCATTAGCTTCACATCCACAGCTCCTCCACCCCTCTCCTCCTCCATCTATCATCACTCCTTCTCACCCGGCACTTGGCAGCCCCTCCAGTCTTCTCCTCCTCACATCTACAACAAATCAATCCCTTTATTTTCTTCCTGAGGGGTTTGTTTGAGGAAGTGGCTGTCAGTGGCGGCATGGTATTTTGCAGCAAAAGCTGCTGTGAATTATAAATTCTCAATTATCTGTGTGAATGAAGGGGTTGATACTGCGTGTGTGTCTACTCACTTCCCGTTGGTCCTCCAGGGAGAAGGTGCTTGGTGGGAAGTCTTGGCTGAATTCTGGGTCACAAAAAGACAAATGTATATTAATAGGGCTACAAGATATGTTAAAAATATGACTGATGATTAGTAGGAATTTTCATTTTTACATCACAATTTTCATGTTCACAAATAAATACTATTAAAATCATCTCTGCAGCACTATAATACTTCATTATAATGTTGTTATCACACATTTTACCTTTATCAAAAAATTGGTAGCTCTTGTGATTTGGATATTGCACTTTCTGTGATTCTGTGATTTTGATGACATTTCAATTAATTATGAACCCCTGTTTTTTATTAAAACATGTTTTCATTGCTTACAGTATTTGCTTTACATGATAAGAATGACTAGATACATTATAACATTCAGCAGACATCATATTTTACAGATTTTGGCCATCAAAGATGATCAAAGATGAACCTAGCCAAAAAATGGTTAGCTTAGCATAAAGACTGAATTATTAACATATTGTATCTCGTTTGTTTAATCTGTACAAAAGTGTAAAAATTATGTTGTGGTTTTACACTGGGGTTTATATGCAGATGTTTCACCTTTTAACAGAGCTAGAAGAGCTGTTTCCAGTTTGTATATCAGGCTATGCTAACGACCTGCTACCTGCATCTTCATATTTAACTATAATAAAAATAAATAAAAGAGTGGTATCTATCTTCTCTTCTAAATCTCAGCAATAAAGTGAGTAAGCCTGTTTCACAAAATGTTGAACTCTTCTATTTCTATTTATTTATTGGCTGGTTTAATAGGGTCAGTTTAAAATATTAATGTTAATATAAGATGAGCCGAACCCCACTGGGCCACCAATTTGCCCAATACAGTAAGTGTAATTTCTGAACATTAAATCGTGTAATGTTACATAGTGACAAGCACTTAAAATCCACATTAATGTGTCATGTGGATAAGTATATTACAGAAATGGCAACACTGTTTTTGTGCCATTTCTCTTTTAAAATGAACTGCTCCGACTGATCTCAGTTATTTTTTTTTCCTTTCTGTCAACACATACTGTATGTACACAGCCAGCACACACTAAACCCAGAGTCAGTCCCTTTCCAGAAATCCAATCCCATCAATGCAAATGCGGCACTGTGATAATGACATCCTCAGTAATTAATTAAACTAAACATAATCAATCAAAACAAGCACATTAAACCCTAACAATCCACTGTGATGATTGATGGAGCTAATTAATACATTAATATCAAAGAGAAAGAATGGATTTTAATAACTTCATGCAAAATTAATGCACAGGCACCATGAAAATGAATATGAAATGTATTTGAGGGATTGTAATTAGCTTTTCATGTTTTTCAACCGCAGAGGGAGAAAATGAGAGCGGAGGGGAAGGAAGTCCATGTCCATGTGTGCTTGTGTGTTACCTTGAAGTACTCCATGAGCGACCGCGAGTACTTGACAGCGTGGTCTTTCTTCAGATGGAACATCCTCAGATACAGCAGAGACAGACAGCGGTTACTATGGAAACAAAACCATTAGAAGGCAGATGAATCCTCTGTACAAATTCCCTTTAAAGCTCCGTTCTCAACATTATTTTCATGTCATCCACGCACAAAAAAATGCACACGGACTTCAAACACGCCCCACAAGTCCTCGTGGATTAGGAAGAACTTCAGTGAAGTGAAGAATGTGGGGAATGTCTAAAACTACTGTATGATAATTAACAAATCTTTGCTTGTGAATTGTACATTTATTAATTTACAGAGAGGGATAAAAAAAAAAAAAAAACTCCCTGAAATGGTTTTTAGGATCATTGTGAGGAAAAAAAGGTTTTAGCTTCATGGAACAGATCGGTTTGTAAGTGACACAAGTGAGTGATTTCAGAGAAATTGTCACATTCACCAATTTTCTCTTAGTCAGACTTGTCGCACAAGTCATGTACAGATTATCTCCACAGGGGAAAAACACTTTGACACAAGCGACTCAAGAATTGTAGTGCCTTTATCTGAATGAATTTGGAGCTTCTCGCTGCCTCGCAGTCTCTAAGCAGGTCGCTGTCAACCATGTCGCTGTCAGGCCCGTTGCACTCAACTGTGTAAAATCATTGCTGTCATGCCATTGTTCCGAAACCCTGATAGTGCAGTCCCACTGGACAAAAGCCCATTTGTCTGACAGCCCGTTAATCCAAAAAACAAAAACAAATGCACATTGCTCCGAAGGCCAGTTGTTCAGAAAATACACACTCTGATATCACCAGCTTACTTACATAACTTACACCTACTACAAGTAGTTTTTAACTGGTTATAAAACAGTCTTAGTGTAATATTAATACCTCTATATGACCTACATAAAAGAACTGTCTGTGAGAAGATTGGGTATTTCTTTATAGTTATTCTTAAAGCCTGCCACAAGGTCTGATTCGGTTGGATTCCCCTTTAAATCAATGAAAAGAGGCAGTGGAAACACTACCGCTTTTATCCACAGGGGGCGCCAGAATCGACACAAAATGAAAGTAATTTTTTGCTGCTTTTATTGACGTAACTAACATACTTATTTTAACCCAAACCATGATCTTTTCCTAAACCTAACTAAACTGCAACCGTTTCACAAAGTTAACCAAGTACTTATTATTGTTACCATGACGACGAAGGTCAACTGACTTCGTCCTTTCATCCACGTCCAAATATACTAATATATATAACGCCAAAAAACTTGTGAGAGAGAATGGTTATTTTTGGAAAATCAGGCCTATGGAATAGATAACGGAGATGACGAGCTGTCGACAAATGAACTTTCGGTTCAATGTGACATTTTTTGCACTATATATAATATTCTCTTGTCCATTTCTGTGAATGTCAGATGCCCTTGACCTCCCATCTAACTTCTAAGTCATGGGCGGTTTGTATTAGCAAGATTTTGTTGAGCACTCAACATCATGTCAAATCATTTCCTCTATTCTCACAGTACAGTGATGCTCTGATGACATGTTTTTCTAATTGTTTCAGGTCACGTGAATCTTTTATTTCTAAAATCTTCTTTTCTTGATTTATGTTTTTGTGTCATGAATGCGCAGCAGTTAAGTGTTTCCTGAATCCAACTTGCAACATTTATAAGAGAAAACCTCACACAAATAAGAGAGATTTAGGTTTAAGAATACAAAAATGTTTTTGCATATGGCCCCAAATCGTTTAAATTTGCATACTTTTAGGGCAAGAGTAAATTTAGCGTTTCGGCATTTCTCCACCAGAATTTGGCTGGCAGTGTGGTAAAGCTGCATTTACATAATCTTGTACTGTGGGGAGTTAAAGTTTACAGACAAGGGGGGAGAGAAAAGGTATGACAGGCAACAAATGTCCCTAATGTAACCACATGGTGAGTAACCCCAAGACCACCAGTATAATCCACCAAAATTATTTAAAGCGGTATTAAGGAACTTTCATTTTGTGTTGATTCTGGCGACCCCTGTGGACAAAAGCGGTAGTGTTGCTTAAATTGACAGTTTCATCATCAGTTAAAAACTCCATGTAGTACGTTTAACAGTGAAATAATAAAAAATCTAAATAAAAACAAACAATTTGGGGACATGTTTGGCTGTCAATGCACAGTATTTCTAAAACCCTGTCAATTACCCATACTGTATTTTACATACAAAAACAAACACACACAAAAAAAGAAAATCATACCATAACACAGCTAGTTTCTTCTCGGCGATGGTGGCTGAATGGCTGGAGAAGTTCTTCAACCTCATGGCATACCTGCAGAGGAGAGACGCTCATTACTCATCTGCTGACATTTCCAGTGATTTATGGGCGTAGAACGAAAACACACTTTATTTTTCTCATGATAGTAAATACATGTATACTCAAGGTTCTTTTTTAATTAGAAAATCAAGGTTAAGATAATTCAAGGAGCTGCTCTTTCTGAACATAAAGAATATAAAACAGTCACATGTCAGTTAGTGATTAATTCCTTCAGCTCGCTGACAGCCAGCATCCACCCAGCCGGAGTACCTTCAGGCAAGACAAGCTACAGGTCAGCTTTATCTGACTCTGTGGACGGATACATTTCTCGTTTGGTTATTGATTGGGTATTTAAAGAAATGCTGTAGGGGTCAGCTGTTGCCTCCTGCCCTCATTGGACCCCGTGTGATTGCTTAGCGAGGTGGTTAATCAGTCAAAATGAAATTCAGCAGTGACAGGTGCATCAAGGGAGAGGAGTTACACCTTTATACTTTATTGATCTCTGTAGGAAAAACCCTTGTCCTTCTCTTCTCCTGCCTCCTTTGAGGCAGTCAAAGGCCAGGGTCACAGATCAGCAAGCCCTGCAGCTGGTGACGGTTCAGGGTCTTGCTTAAGGACCCTTCAGCAGCATGGATGAGTGCAGACAGGCAGATCTTGAACCTGAGTCCTTCAGTTAAAAGTGTCTCCCGCTACAGCAACCTGCTGCCACAACCTGCCTGCTTTCAGAGGTAGCACTCATTCGTTATTCTCAGTTTGCTCTCTTAAACTTTCACTTGGTGACTTCACACGCTGGCAGCTCTGAAAGGCTGAAAAACAGCAGAGATCCTGTAATGCAACACGAGTTAAACAGCGCTCATTAGCAACCCTGCAGGTCTGTGAAGCTTTAGACGAAGAAGGCAAAAAAATAAAAATCATGAATAGAGCCCTGGCTTCATGCTAATTAGGGTTTAGTTTTTATTCAAAAACTCAAGTGTTGATTTGTCGTTTTCTGTGGGCAGAGAGGTGACCATGCAGTATGCAACCACAGAATATTATTGAAGCTAATAGGCTAAATCTACAACAGGTCAGTAAGGTTGGGCTGATAAAAGAGGTGTAATTTTTCACATATGAATCCTGGGCAATGTTTCCTAAAAGATTTGATAGTAATTAAAAGAAAATAGAGAGATGTTTTGAGACAGTGAAAAAAAACAGTCACTTAATTATGAGAGTGTTTAGCAAATAATCAGGGAATTACAGTTTATAATGGCTGCATAGTTGGGTAGAGAGTATAAACAGTTGATTTCCAGAGATTTTTTCTCAAAAAAACTGCTAAAATTTTAATTAGATCATTTGTAACTGCCTTACAATATTATAACATTTATTCAACCTTCTTTTCCACGTTTGTTTATTTTAATGCTTGCCTGTAATTCACAGCTACACAGTTTACAGGTCACTTACAGTACGTAAGTATTACAAAAGATCAGCAGTTCATAATAGAAAAGTTTGAAGTTTTTTGGTTGCTGGGGTCTAGTTGTGTGGAATATACGCCTACCAGTGTTTGTTTTGGTTTTTATTTACAGTTTTTGTATCACCATGTTTCGCATATTAGTCCATGAATGGAGTCTTTAAGTGTCCCTCAGTCAAAATAACCATAAAAGACAGGCTAGAGACAGTCCAGACAGCGAGTTCAGTCGAGTCCACATAAGGTAACATCCTTCATCCACTGCTGCTCTGAATGCATTTTTATCATTTAGTTCATTAAGAAGTGGTGACTTGGTTTTAGTTCTCTATAACACAGAACCCATGAGTGCACACTCACAAGTTTCGCAAGTGTAGTTCAGTGTAAGAGTGCTTTTAGTTTAACTATGTAAAACATTCAAAAATGTCTCCACAGTATTGTTGATAGTATTGCTGATACTCTGACGGCTTGACTGACTGATTTAACTTAAAGTGTACCAAGCACTAACTATACTTACACGGAGCCTCATATTCCAATTATAAAAAGCAAACAGAATAAAAATGCTCCATATAAATACCTCAATCAGAATAAACAGGCCCAAACTGAGTGAAATTTTACTGCAGAAAAAACCTTTCATAAACCAATCAAAAGGAATATTGCACCATGTAAACGATTTAACCTGATCACAAATATGCAAATATATGACAAATGCATGTCACACAGCTGTTCAGATTACATGTGCATGTAAACACCACAGCGTATTAGATCACATCCCATGTCCACAGCTGACCTGACGTCTTAATGATTTCAATCAGAATGAAAAAGGTGTGCATGTAGCCGCAGCTGCTGTCTTAATTTTCCCTACAATTAAAACCAAATGAGACATAATGCTTTGAAGGAACCTTCCTAAGAAATCATACCAATTATCAGTTTCATTCAACAAAGTCATTAGAGAGCCTTGTAAAATCTCTCCATCCGCTACGTGACTCACTCTCGAACAGTACCTGATTAGCTCCACAGTCTCAGAGTACATGGTGTATGGTGATTTGGCCTCTAGTGGATCTCGCTCCATGGCATTTCCGCACTCTATGAAGGAGAGGGCGCCATCCGCGTAGTTCACCGCTTTACCAAATTTGTCCATCTACACGCAGAGAGGTAGAAAAGACAGGCAGACAAATGAGAGTAATGAAAAGTAACAGAGGATAGACAGACAGAGAGAAGACGTGAATGAGACAGAATAAACAGCATTGTGGCAGACGTGCAGTCTTCTCTTTGAATAATCTCCTGCTGAGATGCAAATCCCCAGATAAATCAGAAGAAACAACGCGTAAACATAAGATAAATAACAAGTTAAATAAATCTCATTTCATTGTTAGGAGGGGATCAGATAATTCTTTTGATATTGTTTAATCTTGCAGACACCATCAGTCCTTGAATGCAACGTTCCCTTGGAGACAAATGGTGCAATAAATAACACAAATTATACAGTACAGTCCTTGATATGAAATAGATTTTCATTCTTCTGAGCATCGCTGTGCACACACATAATTACAGTCTAGACTGTAGATGTTAACATCATTTTCTTTCTATCAGTGTGCATCTGCCTTTTCTCTGCCTCCTGCATGTGCTCCAGCATGAAGGTGTGTGTATGTGTGCGTGCGTGTAACCTATGTGTCCTTCAGTGATTGCAGAGAGAGTTGTAGAACATCTTACCAAAGCATCAGCCTTGTGCTTCAGTCTCTTGGCCTCCTGCATGTAGTAGTCTGCACTGTGGACTCTGGGAACGGCGGGGAGAAAAAAAAACAGAGCATAAATAGCACTGACACGTCGTTTAACAAAAACTAAAAAAAGCTGCATGTTAGAGTGATTTACATAATCACTGCCTACGAGTAGCTTGCAGTGAGTTATATACAGTACCCTACTTTGGTATACACACCTCAGGCTTAGTGTAACCTTAGTATAACAGCAAAACATGTTGTTTCATGAATTATGCAGGAACCCTTTGGGACAAATAAGTAACAAGATGCATCATCTTTTCAGGTTTCAACACGACTGGACCGATGGCGAGGCAGTTACAGATAATTCCACCCACCTACAATAGACAATAGACACTAATACATACTAGGCCACCATTTGGCCTTAAATGTATTGTTTTAAAACATCCAGTATACAGTGTGAAGAGGTATCATCCCTTAAATGAGTTGTATCAAAATAAGACAAGTTGTGTTAAGACAGAGAGATGAGACATGAGAACGGGTCTGCTCGGTTCCTCGTATACGTGACCCAACCCAGGGCCCGAGTCATGTTAATTTCGATAATATATAGATAATATCGATATATTTTGTGCATTAATTATGTGCTTGGATTGAGTCTTTTAGCTGTAATTCCAGCATGTCTTGTTTTTGTTTAATATTACCTTATACTTTCTTGCTTTATTTATCTGGATGTCAATTTGGGGCTCATTTTCAAATAAGGTCCAAACTTTTGGACTCATAAATACCTATAGAACACATTACTCTAAATATAAATGAATGGTGGAGATAATTGGTAACCACTATATCGCACTAGTAGCATTGATAGTACTAGTACTGGTACCATCTGCCAGAACTGGAAGATTTTAAGTGTGTATATCAGAAAAGCAGCGTACCATAAAACAGTTTCTCTTTGTGCCATAAAGTAATCCATCTGTCAAACTCAGCTTTATGGGTCTTAATGTAAAAATGCAATGTTTACAGTAATTATAAAGAACTGGAATAAAGAAAACTCTTTGAGAAATACCCGCTCTGTCTTACATGACGTGTATTTACTTGTCTCGGCCGAGAGAGAAGACTCATAAATAATAGGAATCTTTTGATGAAGAAACAAGATGCTTCACATTTCTTCTGGAGAGTAAACAAGACGCACTTCCCATGTAAAGAAGAAACACATGCTGTCTCCTAACAAAGGAAATAGAATTACTGACACAGGAATCGAGGGAGTAATGTTCAGTCTGCAACGAACGTCTGATGAGCAACGGTCATTAGAATAAAAAACATATCTGTAAATCATCCTGCTGAACAGACTCCACAAGAAAGATTCAACTAAGAGCCCATCTCTTCAAATGTACATGACAACTAATGCATCAATATCAATGGAAATGACATATCAATGTTTAAAATGCTCACGTAACACTTGTTAAATGTATACGAGTGCACATATTGGTGTGTGTTGTACTGTGTTTTCCTACGTACGTGTCACTAAATGACAGTCTCGGCCTGCGAGGTTCGGCGGGCTCCATCACCGGTTCCGACCACACCTCAGAGTCTGACTGTCCGTTGGCATGGTAACCGTCTCCGCTGGGCTTCTCGCCGTGGGGATCAATTTCCTGTGGTAGAGAAGGAATTAAATCCGTGGTTATAATAGAATTAATTAATATTACAATGTGTGGCTTTCATCAACCAGCGACTTAAATGTTATTGTCAGCTTCTCAGTCACAGAGACGGATTCACTCTGCCAGCCTGAACAGTTCTGTCCACAAGTTACGGTGTAGCTGCTGGAGACATGAGATCAAATCAATGAGCCCAACTTTCTTTAAATGTATAATGTAAGTGTAATAGCAGTACCCCCAACAGCAGCCACAGCCTGTTTGTGGAATTTACAAACCCTACTATGGCGAAGGCATGACCTGCCTGACATCTGCCACTGAGATGAGCCACCCACTTTGGTGGATGAAAGAGAAATGCGAGGGAGCTGGCCATCCAATCAATGAACAACGAGTACTGTCTGAAAATGTCGTTAGATGTTCACATTCTTGTTTATTCTACATGGTATTAAATTACAGTGAGTGTCACTGTGATTGGATTGGTGCCTCTGCATCTCTTTCAACCAGCAAAATGTCTGGCTCCTCTCAGTGGCCTGTACTTTCATTGGATCTTGTTACAGTTAACAATTTTGAGCTAAGTCAGTTAAATGTAATTTTAACCCTTAAGATTGCATCCATATACTGTACTCCTATTTAACAATGTATGCCAAAAATGTACAACAACTCAAATCAAAATCCAATAATTTTGTCTTCTTATAAAACAAAATGTGATGCATGCTTACGTAAGCATGAACTAACAGATTTCAACCGATAATACCATGACATTCACCCGTCAATTAATCTTCAACGTTTGGCGACACAGAGCGAAGATTAATTAGTTAGCTAGCTAGAGTGTTTGTGGAGGGCCAGACCTCACTGATTACTGTACAAAAACACATATCAGTGATATTGGTGAAACTGGATCATATTTATGGACAGAATATTGTTGTGTATTGTTTCCTTCTGACGTCCTCAACTCCGCTAACTGCTAATGTAGCGTGCAACTGAACGGGGCTCAGCAGCCTCCCAGTGAACACAACCTCAGACACAGACAGAGGCCAGTTTGACGACAGCGGTACCGAGGTGATTTACGGAGTTTCCAGATGGCCGACAGTAATGTTAGATGATAGATTCTTCCCTCAGGCTGTGAGGCTGCTTAATTTATCCTCAGCACTCCATGTAATTCTTTTTTATTTCTAAGACTTACTATGTATTCACCCATCAACTGTATATCATTTTTGCATGCAACATTTGTTTTTGTGAGAAGCATAAAGAGAACTACAACTCATTATACAATCCTGTGTTGTAAAATGGCAAACACATCTTTAATTTACTGGGATGTACTGTTTTATGTATCTGCTGTTTTTAATGCTTTACTTTTTCTCACACTGCTTCCATCCGGTCGCAGATACAGATCCCTGCTCTGGAAACAGACACACTACGGCAGGAGTTTATCCCCTTTGCCATAGCCAAAACACCTCTGTAACCGTAATGGGTAGATACTGAATGTAGGATGTGTGCATACATGTCTTGCAGTTGTGTTGTGTATCTATGTACCTATGCATTTATGTACAGACTGTGGCAACATATTTCTTTGAAAGGACAGTAAATAATCTATCTATCTACCTGCTACTGTACAACAAAGCACTCTTAGATGTTTTGGCTCCTGAAACTGAAGACAAATTGCAGGTAAGGAAACATGACTCACATCAGTGGAGATGTGTGTCGCGCTGTAAGTTTTAAAAATGGCATGTCATTAACTCCGGGGGTTATATTTGGAACAGTGTCAGGTGAGCAACTCAATTTTGCACTCAGGAGATAATGCCACTAGCCTACTATCACTCAAACATAGTGTGGATGATGAAACACCAGAGCCAATAATCCACCCTAGGGGATGTGCATTATTTTCAGACCCAAGTTATCATCATTTAGAGTGGAAGCTGACCAGCAGTCCTGTCTCTTGAAAACATTATTATTTGAATAAGAACACATTTGTTTCTGTAGATGTTGACCTGGAATAGTATTCTTGAGCACTTACGCTGCCATTTCTTGCATGTGAGGACGCCTTGCTTTCGCCTCTCCTGTGTCTGTGTGAGGAGGAGGAAGTGGAAGAGGAAGAGGTGGAGCAGGGCAGCATCCCAGTGGCGCCGCCCTCCTGGCTCAGAGAGGAACTGCTGTCACAGGTCCGTTTACGAGGGGGATCGTCAGAGAGGGGGGACAGGAGGGGTGGAAGCAGCTTGTCATCGCGCCGTCGAGACTGCTTCCTGTTTAGAGAGATACTGAACACACAGAGACACAAAAGCAGTGAGATTATTGATTTATTTAGAGTATTATCTTTTTTACCAAATGTTTATTTAGGATATAAACTCTCTTTTTTTTAACTTACTTGTGCCTGTTGCTAGAGTTTGCTAAGATTCTTAAAACAGAAGGATCACGAATAATCTTGACAATAAGAGGAAATAAAACAAATGATAACAGACAAATTGTGACTGAATATAAGCAGAGGACTGCACACAAAGCCACTGTAAGCTCAAAGTACCGCATATAGCTCAGGCAAATGTATCATAAACCTGCAAATATAATGTATATTATTTATATTGTTATTACTTTCCTTTACGGTGCCACCCCATGCCTCTCAGCAAATACAGATACATATGCTTCGGGGATTCTGCAGCGATCAATTTTACCTGCTCTCAGTGTCAGAAAATGACTGCACTTAGCAGCTTACAGTAAGTGGTTTTCAAATGATCAAAGCTAACAGTCTGCTACTTTCTACAATACTGGATCTTCAGAAAACATATATCCACTCTTGTGATGTATTTCAGCCTGGAACTAATGAGCACATGTAAAAAATAGAAATATAATATATGTATTAGTGGCCAAACAGACCTGTGGTGTTTTACTTTAATTTCTTTAAAGATTACTTTATGGATGTCAGAGGTTTTGGAAGAATGCTGACTATTAAGTATAATTTCAAATATTCTTTTATGTGACTGTATTTCTGTATTTCTATGTTTGTTTTTACTTTCTGAGTCTCTCTTTGAATTTCCAAACTCAAATAAATGAAGCAGATTTTCACAAACATCCAGCATGTAAAGCCCTACCTCTATAATCTTGGCAAACAATATCAACCATCTTGTTGCGACTTCATTTGCAATTGCTGAATAATATTTTCCTTCTAAAATTGTTGTAATTCTGCCTTCCCTGCCAGAGCGTCAACGATTATTCCCTCAGCTGCCTTATTGTAGCTTTTGTGACTCATACTGTTTGCAACACAACAGATAATATTTTTATGTTTTCCTCTGCCTGGAAACTCTGGGGGTTTGATGCAGCGAGAAAAGTTGCTGAGCTCGCAGAACAACGCCCCGAGCCCCGACATTAGTGATAATACACAAAACCGGGGAGACAAAGACTAATTAGCTGCAGCGGTGTGTGCGTGTGTGCTTTATGTCTGCGTACAGCATAATTGATGTGTGGATGACTATGCTAATTTGCATGCATTTGTGTGTGTCTATCTTTAAGTGGATGCTGGTGTGTGCGCAAGAGAGCGTGTGAGAGCTCTCAGACTTATTTTAAAGGGGCAATAAGTCAAGAAATGTACACCCTGCAGCACAAAATGACCACAGTATATCTGCCAAATATTCATTTGGAATACATTTGCAACGACTCAACAGTTACTTGGCCCGGTGGGAAGATTTCAGAGTTTTTTATAAAGGTTATATATGTGAGATTTAAAACATTACAGCAGTAAACAACTATTTGTTACGTAAAGACATAGTGGAATCATCGTGAGGAAAGGATTAATTTCAGGATTTATTTCAACCAAAGCAGAGTTTGTGATTGTTGGAACAGCGGAAAGACTAACAAATACTGTTTTAGTGAGTTTTATTTTGTTTCCGTCCACTTTGAATGAAGTTATGATGTTACGTGGCGAGTGAAAGTGATATTAAGCCTTTTCTGGTTAAACAAAATCTCTGTAGGGATCTTTTCCTTCATGTTTTCAGACACTAGAATAACAATCTGAGTCTGTTGGTAGCAAAAACAAGCCTTTCACTGGGTGTATTTTCACATGTAACTGTAAATTAAAGGTTTATTTCGACCAAACAAGTGCTGGTGAAAGGTGGAATTGGTGAGTTTTATTTTATTATCTCATTGTTTTGGTCTGACATGTTGTGTGAATTTCATATATATAACTAAGTCCAACTGAAATGAAGTTGGTTTTTGCTGCTTTGCTTTGTCTGGTACAGCATACAAATCTGCTCTGTAAATCATTAGTATTGTGTTCTCCTTTGAGTAAAAATCTGAAAACATTTAATTTGTCGGAATATAATTTGTTCTCTGTCTACGCAGTTTCCATACAGTCAATCAAATATTGCACGAAGCAGTAAAAAGCGAATAATAATACATAACAAAAACACATTGGCATTATTTTTCACTGCACAAAGAGATTAATTTGGTGTTTACAGTCAGACTTTATGACTATTTATTGTTAATTAATGGAAATGTCATAAAGGTTATAAAAAGGTAAAACAAAACTTTCCTGCGGTAAAAACTCAGTAATTAATATATGTCTTTTCTAATTATCTGTTGTCAAAATATGACCTCGCTGATTAAAAACAGGGCGATAATAACTGTCAACAGTCACAGGTTAGAAACTGCTGAATGAGTCTGAGCAGGATGATCACATCATCCTCTTTACAGCTCCCATAAAAACCCTCTTGGATGATAAAGAGACTCTGCAGAAGTCTGCCGTACAATGTCACGGGTTCAAGTCCAGGTCACTCCCTCTTTCCCTCCCACCTTTCCAGGCTGTGTACTCTTTGATGACGCTGAGATGCTATAAAAACATTCCCTCTGTAGCTGTCACGTTGAGGCTTATTTATAGCGACAGCCAGCTTAGTCTGTTTTTAATAATTCACATGGAAAGCTGAAATTCACAATTTGTCATTCCTGTGTCACAGTGTGAATTGAACTCGCCTCTACAATGACTTCATCACCACATTAAAAATATTAAGCCCTCCTATAAATACTCTACTAGCGTCTGTCCCAGTCACATGGGAGTGTGGCGTTAAATATGAGTGTGAAGGAAAGAATGGGGGAAGCCAAAGTTGAGCCTGTTCCAGTTCACAGAAATTAGTTCTCACATTTCCTCATGTCTTCTTTTTTGGAATTTAGGGCACTTAAAGGTTATACAAACGAGATTTAGAACATTAACATAAAGCAAACAGCCAATTACTATGTAAATATGTAGTGGAAAACAAACAAAGACTGTTTTGACAAGCGTTGTGTTTGTTTCTGTTTGTTTCTGTCCACTCTGAATGAAGTTACGATGTTCTAAAGATTTGGAAGGTAAAATTACAGTTTGTGTCAATGGAGTCTGGTGGCGAGAAATAGTGATTTATCGGCTGATTCTGGTGAAACGAAGCGATCTTACTGTTTAATTCTGTAAGGATCCTTTCCATAATGTTATCAGACACTTAGGAGAACAATCTGAGATCGTCAGTGGCAAAAACACACACTTTTAGTGGACAGACTTTGACGGGCACATTTGTCTCCCAGGAATAACGTTAGCTTACATCACCACCACTGCAGCCTTTTTCATCAATATTGTCACATCGAACTCTGTGAATTAAGGGCTTATTGCAACCAAACCAGCGTTGGTGATTTTTGGAAAGACCAACAAAGATGTTTTTTGGGAGTTTTATCTTGTTTGTGTCCAGTTTGTTTACTGTTAATTAACTGTTAGGTAAAATTACTGGTTTGTCAATGAAGTCTGGTTAGCTGTAGTGCCCATTTGTTTTGGTCTGAGATGCTGGTGTGACATCTAGTGGCAAATTAGTTTTGTATATATACCCTTTAAACCCTTATCAGGTCCTTGAAACGTTTTAATGATTCCTGTTAGTTGATCTCATTCTGAGTGGAACCTCACTGATTGTGATCTACATACATTATTGTGTCACACTTTCATCACAGTGTCGTCCTCTTTAGTCCTCTGGGGAGTTACAGTAGTGGGTAATACTCACTCAGTAGAGCTGTTCTTGTGGTTGTGTATCGGAGAGATGCAGGGTGGGAGGAGCTGACAGTCTTTGTCCAATCGCAGCTTCTTATTGCCATTGACTGATGACTCACTGTGGTCCGACTGGAACACAGAAGAGATAAAACTATAAGTACCGTATAAGAGAGATAATGATTAGGGACTCAAGTATGTGAAGAGAATTTCAGAGAAAAGGGGTAAAAAGAAACACCTTATGTTTCCTCTTGCTCTTGCTGGTGTGTTTCTCTGTGGGGACCACTATGTTCCCAGCTGTCTGCCTCCTGTGTTTACCTCCATTCTCTCCTCTCTCTGTCCTCCCGGCCAGCCTGGGATTACTCTGCTCTTGCACAGGGGGGTTATCCAGGACCCCCAGACCTTGGCAAACCTTTTCCCTGTCCCTCCCTGTCGTCCTTTCCCTCTCCCCAAGCCCGAATCTGTCTCTGTCCTCTCTGTCCGTCTGCCTCTCTGTTAATCTGTCACCTTGTCTCTCTCTGTCCTGCACCAATCGCTCATTTTCCTCCTCCTGTTTCTCCCCTTTGGGTAACTTCGGCCTCTCCCTCAGCCCTGGCCACTCTCTCTCTTCCTGCTTCTGTCTTTCTCTCTCCAGCACCCCTATCCTCTCCCTCTCCCCCTGTCTCTCTCTGTCTCTCCCTTCACTCCCGTCCCTATCTGCGACTCCCACTCTGGACCTTTCCCCCAAACCCTGGCCGGGCACCCTGCTGAGCAAACTCAGGTCAATTTTCACCCATAAACTCTGGATCTCTTGGTATGGCCTCAAGGGGGACAAAGGTGCCTCGTGTCCCATGTTGGAAGGCGGCGACATGGACTCCAGGTCTTTGCACTGTCCTCCTAACCCTCCAGGATCAGGAACAGAAGTGCCAAAAGAACCACTTATGTTGCTAATGCTTAAGGAGTTACAGCTACTACTGCTGCCATTACTACCACTGCTGATGCTACCGTTACTACTGCTGCTACCATTAGTGGTCACATTGCTACCATCTTTGACTCGCAGTCCTTTACCTCCAAACGTTCCCAGGCTGCCCATGCTGCCAACGGAGGCGAGGCATGGGAGAAGAGGCGTGTGTATGTGTGTGTTGGACAGAGTCTGTGTGTTAATCGCAGAGCGTGTCGTCTGAGGTGGCAGAGTGGGGATTTTGATGGCTTCCTCTGAATCTGACTGGCATTCGGAGGAGGAGGAGGAGGAATCTGTTTCGATGAATTCTCGGGACTTGGGTGTGATTCTGGTGTTTGGACCTCTGTGTTTCCTCTTGTCCTGTTTTGAAGACAAACATGAGGCAAGGCAAAGGGGAGAGAGCTTTGAGTTGACTGAATAATATTACTAATAATCATAAATATGCCTGACTTCCCTACTCCAGCCCCAAATACAAACATTGCTTCTCACTAAAGATGTACAAATTTAACCTGCCACGAATATATTTTTTTATTTTGTAAAACAAGGTTTAATAATTTCTGAGCACTGACTATTTTCAGCTCCGTATTAATACACATTTAATATGCATTAGTGAGTATTTACAGAAGCAGAATTGAATCTTTTGCACAAAGGAAGATACATCAGGTTTTAGCTACACACATAATTCTTAGTAGGTTAGTAGGATGAGATTATTTTTTGGTTTTAGTTTTTCAGTCCCTCCAGGATTTCTTGGGCTTCTTTTAGGTTTGTTGCTGCCTAAAATGCCTGATATCATGGCAGCTTTTCTAAAAAAATTGTGATGCATGTTCGGATGTTTTTAGCCGTTGTGGTAGAAAGTGAAAATTGCTAAAATACTTATGATTTTTTTGTTTAATTCAGTAAAAATCGCTAGTAGTTTGGTAACGTATTGCTCAATGTTTTGCACTATAATTGTTGAAAGTTGTGGGAAACTACAACAATTGGTCAAATCTCTGGAAAAATCACACATAATTCATAGGGTTCGGATGATTTCGCATTAATTGTTGTGATCGCAACTTCCTGGAGGGACTGGTGTTTTGATAGACAAGATATAAAATATCACCCAGCCTTTTTCTTCATGTGAAAAAACTGTGTTTTTGCATCATCCTGACATTCTTCTTGTGTGAAGGATGTGTGCCGTCTGCTATTTTCTTGGTAGCGCGGCAGTTCCACCTGCATCGGAGACCTTGTTTTGTATCCAACCAGAATTGTCCCAGAGATGTTGAATGCTTGATTTTAGATGTAAAACGATCATTGATTGTTGTTTGAAACAAAAGGAAGTGATTAGCAGTGCTGGATGTACAACATGAGAAAGCAACTACAGAGGTAGATGCTACGAAGAAAATACCACTAATGTTCCCAGTCAGCATAACCCACACACTTGGCAGACAGAAACCGGCAGTTTTCTGAAAACTTTGGAATCAGTCCAACGCATGCTGCCATCTGCAAAATCCATTTTCAATAAACACCATGTTGTCTTTTATTGAAAAAGAAAAAACTGTCCCCTGTATAATGCTTATTCACACTGCAGGCAAAAATTTTCCTTTCTTGAGCAGAAGTCTCCAACAGTGTTTTCTGGAAAGTTCTCACCGTTGACACGAACATTGGTCGTTCCTCCAGCCGTTATGTGCAGCAAAGGCTGGCAGAGGATCAGGTGTCGTGACAGCACCCGCAGCACAGGTTACAGATGTTTTAGGTTATTTTGGGGCAAAATGGCGATGCAAGTGTACACTTACTGCAGGTCGTTGTCGACATGTAATGCCCCTCTTTGTGTAAGTTATGTAGAATCAACCATGATCTAAAATAACAACCCTTGAGAATTCAGTAGTTTCTTTTTTATCATAGTTGACTCTGTATTTTTTGTTTCCTAACCTTGAATAATGTACCTTTAAAGTTATATACAGAAGCAAAGGTAAAGCCTGGTAGTTGGATTATTTTTTTGTCTCATTTTACAAAGTTCAGAAGCATTAAAGAAATAATGATATGTACTGAAGCACCGTTTGGAGCTCTTAATGGTTGATTGAACCTGCGGTTAAAGAGGTGGCAGATGTCAGTGTCAGGCACGTGAGCCTCGTCATGGACTGTGACAGAGGAGCTGAGGTTTGCAAGTGTTTCGATGTCGAAATGCAGTTTGATTTGTTTTAGTATCAAGTTGTCTTTTAAGTCTTTCAAGCATATTTTCTTCAGAATGATGGCATAAAAAGTGAAAAAAAAAAAAAGGAAATTTGTTTTACAAAGGAAATTAGCATAATGACACGAGGCACCGGTGTCATAAAGATCAACAAACATCAAAACATGGCACATCCTAAAATAAATGTGTGTCGTGTGAACTAAACTTCTTTTGTTCTTTCAAAGACGAGTGTGTATATCCATGTCTCTATATGTCAACCTTACCTCAGTGGATTTCAGACTTTTTCTGTCAGGTTACAGAGGGTCAACAAGAAGACAGTGATTTTTGGATGATTTATGATTTAATTTACAGACTTCTTGGGCCTGCTGTGTTTTCACTGTAGAGAGACACATTTTTAACAATATCCTGTTGATTCTTTGTTGATTTTTTTTAACTTTAATTTGGTATTATTAAATGTATTTACTCAGAAAAAATGGCACTTCCCCTTTTCAATAAGAGTAAAGTAAAGATGAGGGATATTTTCATTTTCTGTAAGCATGGTATAACTAAATAATTCATTTGCAAAAACCCATAAAAGCCATTCTTGTTTGACTGATATTCTCTTGAGTGTACAATAAAAAAGAATTATTTATGAAAATTAAAACTTTTTGAGATATCTTATCACAACAAACCAAAAACAGTTTGACTGATATTCCCTGGAGTGAACTAAAAAAAAAAAATAAAATAATAATAAATAAATTAAAAAAGAGATATTTGTTTTTGCTAATGAACACTTTATAATCTTGTTGTATAATCTTCATTCCTGTCCTTTTCTATCTATGTCTTAGTTACATAAAGCCAGCTTACTGTAAGTGGTTTTCTTTCTTTCTAGCTTTCTTTCATTTTTCTTTCTCCTTGAAACTACCTAATCTTCATAAAACCACAGGGTGTTAACTCATTATAGGTTAAGACGATGGTCGATGATTCAGTTCCATCTCTTTGACTCCCTCTCTTACTTTCCATATTTCGATAAAACCAGTCAGTGTTGAGCCTTAATAGTCATGTAATAATACCGTTTTTATCCTGTGGAATTTTATGACTTTGACAAATCATCCAGAAACTATAAGGATGAAGTAATCATTATAGGATACATGGACATTGTTACTTGTGTGTAGCACTGGTTTTAAACTGTCTTTACATGTTCCAGATGTTGATAAGTAAAGGAAAAATGTCCCACGGTGCTTGTGTTGTGCACTCGAGTCGTGTATAACGTCCTTTCTTCGTCATTTAAATTAAAAAGGGATTGTTGGAAAACTAAATGCAGTCCCAGTTTTGGATGACAAACGTAGCAATTGAATAGTAAAAAACAATTAATAGATTAATTTTGAGACATTAGTATTATTAGGGGCAACCATTGAGGCCACCACTGAGAAGACAGTCAGAAGAAATATGGAGAAACTCTCTCCCACAAACACACACACACACGTATCCCACCCCCCAAAACGAACCTGGTTTACACTGACAGCAGGTATTGGCACAGGGGTTTGCTGTAGAGGTGCTGGCGGAGTAACTGTGTTGTTGTTTGAGTTGGTTGCACTGCGAGGCTCTTTCCTGGGGGCTGTTTTCCCACTAGGGGGTTTGCTTCGTGGCCTCGGGGGGTTCTGATGCTCCAGGGAGGGGGGAGGCAACATGTCCTTCTCCCTAACTGCAGGGCTGCAGCGGGGAAAAAGAGGAAGCATCACAATCCGAACTAGATTCACCCGTGAGCAAGGCACCGCTACTGCAGAGCAGTTTTACACTGACAAACAGGAGAAGATAATGTTTGTGTTGGCCAGCTCCAGGGGGTGAATGTGTGTTAAAATGAAAAAAATATAAGACAGCATGATATAATTGAAAACAGCATGTATTCAGCTGAACTTGTTTGGATGTGGAAAGCTTAAACATGGAAAGAGGAAGGGAAGAAGGGATTGAAGGAGATAAGAATAAAGAAAAGAAACTAGGAAGGGAGTGTTTTTTTTTTCTAATTAGCCCAACATCAGGTTGAGCAGCCAGTTTGGCGTTAACTCAATCTGAGCATTTTTCACAACAGATGTGGGAGTGACAGTGTTCAGTGGCTAGCTGCCAAGAAGCTCTGTGATCCAGTGGCGCCTCTGTCAGCCCTTGATACTAAGTGAGTGTTAACGGTAATTGCAATAGTTTTACCAAAAACAAGTGACAAGTTAGAATATTTACTCAAGAAATACGTTGCTAGAATTGTTTTGTGACACTGAACCTGAAACAATTCATTTGCACTTTTACATTAGTTAGTTATGACTGAACAACAACATTACATGATTGGCCTGCTTTTTCACTCAGATGCACACAGGCACAACAAAGATCCTTATTGGAGATCATAGAATTTTTCTGTATAAATTAAGAGCCATTGGTTTCAGTGAAGCAGTCATTATTCTTTGTATTTTATGTATATATATTGCTGAACTGATGATTTTGATGATGTGAAATAAAGATAAAAGTAAAGTAGAGAATATGTTGAAACCCCTCATTTAGGGAAAACTGAGGCCATTCGTTCTCGATATTGAATCAAACGGAGAAAATAACCTGTATTTTAGATAATTAGCTCTAAGAAAAGGGCCATGGTACTGAAAGCACTAAAAGACTAAATTGTGAAAGGGCTGGGGCTGGGGCTGGAGTTGAATGCCATTTTCACTATGCAGCCACTTCCTGGTAGAGCAGTCCTCCATGATTTGTCCAGAAAAAGCTTCAGACGGCTCTAAAAAGCTTTCTAGGGCTGTATCCAAATGACCTCCCTATGCACATCTGGACCTGGCACATATAACATCTTAATTTTCTTACTGTAAAAAGAAAAAAAAATTAAATGGACAATCTACACACAGACTGATCTTCAATCAAGCTACACTTTTTTATGGATCAACAATTACTCCAAGGAAACAATCGCAAATCCTTTTGTGTTTTAAAGAACTAATAAGAAGGTCATACTTTGACTTGACCCTTCCTCACCTATGCTGGTTTGCTCTGCTCCATGTCTGGTTCTGATTATCCTCCATGCTGTTTGATCTCTCTGTCCGCCTTGGCTGTTTTTTCCCAGTGGTGTTCCTCCTCGGGGTCGTGACCTCTGGCCCAGACAACAGGCCCGGTGATAGCCTCATCTTTGACCTCTGGCCCTCCCCCGAGGCCTTCTGGCTGAGCTTTGCCTTGGCCTTCTCTCTGCCCGGGCTGCAGGAAGCAAGAATTGATTTTTCTTTTATGGTTAGAGACACATTTTGGTCAGTTGTTTCCAACAATTTGTTCAACCTTCTGTCAGTGTGTCGTTCATTCATTAATTTATCCAGCAGATAGAATTTGACAAGTTATTTTGGCAGATTTGCAGACAAATACACTTGCGCCTACCATGAGGCTCCCCTTGTATCCTTATGTTCCACCGTTGGTGCAGCTGGAGCAGGGGTGCTGTTGGATCCGCAGGCTTTGGTCTTGGCAGCTGTACCCACTCCTGGTGCTTCACTCCCTGGGGAGAAAGGCTCAGGACCCTGGGTGATGGAGCCTGGGTAGAAGACCATTGGACTGAAAATAAGTATTGCAGATCAAAACACTCTTTTTACTGTAATCACAGTACATGCAACTGTCCATACTAACCTGTGCCATGATGTTCTTGCTGTGGGGGAACCAGGGGTTTGGTTTGAGCTTGGACCTTATTCAACCAACTGTCCAGCTGCCACTTGTTGGTGGAGGGGGGTTCAGGCTATAGGGATAAAACAAGTTATACATTATTGAATATTTCACAAACACTCTGCAACACCTCAATTTTATTAGGATGGTTGTATCTATAGTTTAACTGTCATAGCAAAATATAATTTGGTCTCAAAAAGTTACAGATTTTCTTTGATGCATTAAAATGGATTTTTTCTTGAAATCATAAATCATTAAAGGGCTTATTTTTTACAGTCAGAAAATATAACTTCTTTCACTGAGATCTGAAAGTAGCTCTATTTATTTTCCGTCATATAGCTGCCTATGTGTTGCATGCTATTAAACAATTTTCTTTCTACATGCAACATGACATTGTCAGTATCTTTTACTGCCAACTGTTGAATGACTGCTTAATGACTATGAATTAGGATTTCTGTAACAAAAGATAATGTTACCTCTGCCTTTCATGAAAAAAAAGTGAACCAGCAAAATCAGCTGGCAAAAACAAACCCTTGCATGACTCCAGTAATGACTGGTTGTCTTTAAACTGGAGTTAGAAATGGCAACTGTACTTACAGTTTATTGCACATGGGGAATAATCCATAAATTAAGTTTCTTCCACAAAAATTTTAATTTGCCTAAAACTTCACATGAAAATAAAAAGAGTTCAGTTCTTCAGTTAGCCATTGGATACATTTTAATCTATGAGCTCATGACATCCACTGTGTGTGCACAGTGTGGAGTTAATGTGGAATTCACATAAACACACACATTCACACATGGAAACACACTTGTCATCTTACCTCTGGAGTGTTTGTGCGGGACGCCTGGTTATACTCGCTGTCACTGGAGCTGCTCTCCGATTCGTCTGTATCCGACTCTGAGCTGCTCTCTGATTCACTGCTGCTCCCTGACGCTCCACTGCAGAAGACAAACAAACAAATTAAATAAAATAACATATTTCTGTTTCTGTTATATCTTTGGATGTTATATAAGTCATTCCAATAGTTTAAATCAACATGGCACGCTGTAACGAAGCAAAGACAATTAACATTTCACTGGAAGGTGAGAAAGCGCATCAATGGCCACTTTCATTACTAACAGGGTTACATCACAAAGTCTCTAATAGGGATCCACACCGGCATTCCCACTGTTTCTCTTTCTATTATATATTTTAATTCAGGGATCTCAAACTGCCTTCCATACCCCTCCATCTGGCCCACGACATGATGTCAAAAATATAATATAGTATAATGCAAGACAAAATTTTCTTTCAAATTGTTTCATATCAATTTACACTTCCCTTTCATATACAATTAAAATAAATGCACAACATAATTGTTGTGTGTTGCATATCTTTTAGTGTGTTGTTTCTATGACCATTTTAACTTATGTACTTTAACTTATGTGAAGAGTCTGAATATCATGAAAAGCACTCTATCATTACTACTATGCATTTTTTGCGAAGTATGATGTAAGTAATGGTAATATTTTCAGAATCTTGCACTTTCTTGTAGTGCTTCAGTGTTGAAGTTGCCCTCGAGATTACGATACCATCAATCATCATGGCCCCAAGACATTTTGAGTTTGAGACTCCTGATTTAAATGAACCACCTGGTTGCTGAATGGATGAATGAAAAAAGGAATTCACTCTGAAAATTCAGAATAAAAGATTCAACTTTATGCAGATGATATTTTACTTCATCTTCAAGAATGATCAAATTCACCACAGGAGGCAATCAATCTCATACTCTCTCAGAACACACCATTAACATATTTAAATACACCATATGTCTGTTTTAGAAAATCTAAGACCAACACTGAGTTTTTTCATCATAGAGTGTGACAACACACTAACATATATGCAACACACAACAATTAATCACATATTAAAAGCAAAGATACATTTTTATTTATCTAAAATCTATTTCAACTCAATTATCTGTTTTCATTGCTTCCAAAAATTCCAAAAATAACTTCATTAGTCCATCATTTCACTTCATAATGAAAAAATTGATAAATCTGTGCACTCTACTTTCTTCACTGAGTTTTAGCAAATCAGATACATTACCATGTTATGTGTATCATTCCCCACAAACAACAAAAGATTACCTTTCATACAATTACCCTTCATACAAATGTATTCTACCTATCCTTTCCTGAACTTTTTGACTGCCATATTCTCGAAACAGACATCTTACAAATGAAACTTGCATGCCTGGTATGGAACACTTTTTCTTCATTGTTATTAAATAAAGCCTTGTCATCTTTACTGACTCATCCTGCCAGTTCGTCTCAGTCATTGTCAGGGTTATTTAAGGCACTTGCTAGGACATGGCTTTCTCTTGCCCTTACTTGCCCTGTGGCCTTGGTTTACCATTCATATAAATGGTCAGTGCAGTTCTGGTAAGTACTATTGATTTCGTTACGATGTATGTTTGATGGCAAGTATTGCTAATACAGTACAGTCTCTGTAGTGCTTCTGTAAGCTTTACAATAATAGATTTTCTATCTTTTGTGTAGGCTGAGGGTTTTTCTCCAAACTTACGTGAATTTTGCTCATGACTTTATTTGAATGGACTGATACCTGTTGTGTTGTTTTTGGTGTAAGTTTGTTTCCCCTTTAGTTTAGAGAAGCTGAGTTCTTCTCTTTTGGGGATGCTAGACATCCTGGGTCCTTCTCTTCATATTTTAAAAAGTATAATTTTGGAGATTTGTTTTTTTTTTTAAATAAAGAATTGATTTCCAGCCGTACATAGCACATAACCTCATTATACTGACTCTCAACTACTAAACCATTTGTTAGTTTCTTAATCTCTATTGGTATTTCTTGAGGTGAAATTTCCCCAGTAGCTGTTCATCTCACCCTTATCCTGACATACACCCCTAGTTGCTGCTAAGCAGAGGTAGAACAAGTACACACATTGTTGACTCAAGTACAGTTTAAAAACTGTGCAAAGCTAAATTAAACTTCAAATAGGGTTGAGTCTTGCTCTCTTGTTGGTTTTGTCTTGTTATGTCATTACATTTTTTTGTCATGTTACGTCTGTCATGTGTATGCACCGGTTTTGATGTTGGGAAGGCATGCAATGATGCAAATAATAATAATAATAATAATAATAATAATAATAATAATAATAATAATAATAATAAATTAAAGCAAAAGTAACAACCCTGTTTTAAA